ACGAGGACGAGGAGAAGGAGGAGGAGACGAGGAGGAGGAGGAGGACGTAGAGGAGGAGGAAGAGGAGGGGAGGAGGGAGGAGGAGGAGGGGAGGAGAGGAGGAGGAGGAGGAGGAGGACGAGGAGGGACGAGGACGAGGAGGAAGAGGAGGAGAAGGAGGAAGAGGAGGGAGAGGGGGAGGGGGAGGAGGAGGAGGAGGAGGAGGAGGGGAGGAGGAGGAGGAGGAGGACGACGAGGAGGAGGAAGAGGAGGAAGAGGAGGAGGGAGGAGGAGGAGGAGGACGAGGACGAGGACGAGGAGGAGGAGGGGAGGAGGGGGAGGGGGAGGGGGAGGGGAGGGGGAGGAGGAGGAGGAGGAGGAGGAGGAGGAGGAGGAGGAGGGGGAGGAGGAGGAACAGGAGGAGGAGGAGGAGGAGGGAGGAGGAGGAGGAGGAGGCCTTCTCGGAAGGCGGTGGGACCTCTCAGAAGCCCTCGCGGCTTCTGAGAAGCTCTTGTCTGTCTTCGGGGGAGGCCCAACGAGTCTCCTCGGAAGGCCGCGGAACTTCCGAGACTTTTGAGAAGGCCCGCCCCTTCTCCCTTCCCCCCCCTTCGCTCCCCCCCCTAGGACCGGCTCGTCACCCCGAGTCGACGGTGGACCGCCCCAGGGCCTGGCAGCGGCCCCGGGGGCCGAAAACTGAGAAAACACCAGCGACGACGACGACAATGACGACGACGACGACGACGACGACGACAACGACGACGGCGGCGGCGACGACGACGCCGATGACGACGACGGCGACGACGACGACGACGACGACGACGGCGACAAGTTTGAGACTGTTCGCTCTTGTCTGACCGCGTGCCATTCAACGCGTACATCCCAAACCCTCGATACCCGCCCTCTTCGTCTTCGATCGCACCCTACTTGGGGGTATATCTTTCTTACCTGCAGCGTGTGTTTCGTGCAGCCCCTAAGGCAGGGGAAGAGAGGACGGATGGAAGAAAGGAACAAGGGGGAGGTAGGAGGATGGAACACGAGAGAAAGTAGCAGCAGGGGGGCTAGGAGCAGAAAACAGGTGGCAGAACTAGACGGGCAGATCGGGCGGGTAGGCCCGAACGGGCGGTTCGGGAAGCCGGCCCCAGGCGGCCAGGTCGAGCAGGCGGGTTGCTAAAGCGAGCGTCCTGCATGAATCGTGAGGACCTCTCGAGCGATAGCGCGAGTTCCCAAGAAATTGTAGGGAAATCTACAGCGAGAGCGTGATTCCTGAGTGTCGAAGGTGCGGCGTCCGACAAATTGTGAAGAAATCCCATGCGAGAGCGCGATTCCAATATAAATTGTGACGAAGTCCCGCGCGAGAGCGCGATGTTCAAAAAAACTGTGAGGAGTTATCAGGCGGGAGCCGCTGTTGTTGTAAACTGGAGGCCAGGGGCCCAGTTTGGTGTCACCTCACTTTCCCTTGTAAAAAACCGGGTGCGAGTCCTGGGAAAAGCACGCTGGTTGAAAGAAACGATTGCCGCGCAGGGGGGCCAACAACATTGATTCTTCAAAAATTAGAGCTCAACAACAACAACAACAACAACAACAACAACAACAACCACAACCACAACCACAACCACAACCACAACCACAACCACAACAACCACAACAACCACAACAACCACAACAATAATAACAACCATCACAACAGCAACAACAACAACAACAACAACAACAACAACAACAATAACAACAACAATAGCAGCAGCAGCAACATCAACAACCACCACCACCAGCAACAACAACAACAACAACAACCACAATCACAACCACAACCACAACCACAACCACAACAACCACAACAACCACAACAACAACAACAGCAACAACAATAGCAGCAGCAGCAACGTCAACAACCACCACCAGCAACAACAACAACAACAACGACAACGACAACGACAACGACAACGACAGCAACAACAACGACAACAACAACAACCACAACCACAACCACAACCACAACCACAACCACAACCACAACCACAACAACCACAACAACAACAGCAACAACAACAGCAACAACAACAACTACTACTACTACTACTACTAGTACTAGTACTACTACTACTACATCAACATCAACATCAGCAAAAACAACAACGACAAAAACAAGAAGAAGAAGAAGAAGAACAACAACAACAATAACAACAACAACAACAACAACAACAACAACAACAACAGCAACAACAACAAACAATCATTTGAAGACTGTTCGCCCTTATCTCTTCGAGTGTCCAATAATGCCTATTTCCCAAGCCCTCGATACCCGCCCTCTTGGTCTTCGATCGAACCCCTTTCGGGGGGGAGACCTTTCTTCCCTGCAGGCCGGGCCCCGGCAAGCGGCGGGGCGGCCGCGGACCGTCGGCCTGGCCAGCGGCGGCGCTGATCGGCGGGGCGGCCGCGGACCGTCGACCCGACCCCAAGAGGGACGGAGAGGGGACCGACCACGACGACGACGACGACGACGTCGACGACGACGGCGACGACGACGACGTCGACGATGACGGCGACGAGCGAAAGCGAGAGTGAAAGAGAACGACAGCATGGCCACAAGGACACGAAGTAGGCCACGAAGGGCAACAGCGGGGACACGAGGGGAATGCGTATGGGGTCACGAAGAGCGCGAACGAGCGGGGGCCACCAAGGGCAGATAATGCGGGGCCACAGAAGGCAACGATGGGGCCACTGAGGGTAGCAACTGGGCCACGTAGGACATATGCATATGGGGCCACCACGGGCGCGAACGAGCGGGGGCCACGAAGGGCATACATATATGATCCCGGGCTCCGGGCCCACGGGCCCCCCCCCCCTTCCCCCCAGATGGTATGGTCCCAAGATTCCTCGGGCCCCCCCCCCACAAGATGGTATGGTCCCAGAGACGACGACGACGACGACGACGACGACGACGACGACGACGACGACGACGACGGCGACGTCGACGACTACGACGACGGCGACGACGACGACGACGACCACGACGACGACGACGGCTGCGGCGGCGACGACGCTGGCGGCGGCGGCGACGACGATGACGACGGCGACGACGACGACGACGACGATGACGACGACGACGACGACGACGAGGACGACGAGGACGACGAGGACGACGAGGACGACGAGGACGACGACGACGACCTCTGAACCACCACAGCACCACACCACATCCACAGGGGGGGGGAGGGGGGCACTGCAGCGCAGCACCACGCCACGCCCACCTCTGAACCACCACAGCACCACACCACATCCACAGGGGGGGGGAGGGGGGCACCGCAGCGCAGCACCACGCCACGCCCACAGGGGGGGGCGGGGGGGAACCATCGCGCAGAAGGGGGGGGGGCCCAATGGCATCAGCATTGGGGGGGGGGAGAGGGGGGCAAGCCCTGGACCAGATATGGGGCCACGAAGGGCAGCGAGGGGGCCACGAAGGGATGCAACGGGGCCACGAAGGGCAGCAAGGGGGCCACGAAGGGCTGCAACGGGGCCACGAAGGCCTGCGACGGGGCCACGAAGGGCAGCGAGGGGGCCACGAAGGGCTGCAACGGGGCCACGAAACAAAGCGAGGGGGCCACGAAGGACTGCAACGGGGCCACGAAGGGCAGCGAGGAGGCCACGAGGGGCTGCAACGGTCCCACGAAGGGCAGCGAGGGGGCCACGAAGGGCTGCAACGGGGCCACGAAACAAAGTGAGGGGGCCACTAAGGGCTGCAACGGGGCCACGAAGGGCAGCGAGATTCCGATTCCTATGTAATCTGTGAGGGAGTCCTAAGCGTGAGCGCGACTCATGGGTGCCTGGGTGTCGGGAGCGCGGCGCTTGAGTAAATTGCAGGAAATTCCAACGCAAGGGCGCGATTCTTCAGTAAATTGCAAGCAAGTCTCCAGCGGAGCGACTCCAGAGCGCCGGGATAATAAATTCTAAGGAATTCCCAAGCGAGAGCGCGATTCCTGAATTAAACGCGAGGAAGTCTCGGGCGGGAGCAGGGGTCCTGGCTGAATTGTGAGGAAGTCTAAGGCGGGAGCCGTTGTTGTTGTAAACCAGGGGCCAAAGACACAGTTTGACGCTCAAGACTTTCCCTGATAAAAAACCTGGTGCGAGCCCTGGGAAGCGCACTTCAATCGAAAAAAAAAATGTGCACCGGACGGCGGAGATTAACAATAATTACTCTTCAGGAATGAGAGTTCAACAACAGCAACAACAAAAACAAAAACAAAAACAACAACACCAACAACAACAACAACAACAACAACAACAACAACAACAACAACAACAACAACAACAACAACAACAACAACAACAACAACAACGACGACGACGACGACGACGACGACGACGACAACAACAACAACGACAACAACAACAACTACAACTACAACTACAACTACAACAACAACTACTACTACCACCACTACCATCACCACCACCACCACCACCACCACCACCACCACCACTACTACTACTACTACAACGACGACGACGACGACGACGACGACGACGACGACGACGACAACAACAACAACAACAACAACAACAACAACAACAACAACAAAAGCAGCAACAACAACATCAACAACAGCAGCAATAAACAAAAAAGAGATAGCAATAAAAACAAAACAAAAACACGCGTCGCGTTCAATGCACGACGAAAGGATGTCGGGGCCCCGCAGCAGATCTGGTGGCCCTGCGGGTCCACGTCCCGCATTCTGACCGAAAGTCTGAGGAGATTCGAGCCGTCGCGACGAGGGTCCTATGGCTGACGCTCAGGAGCGGCGAATCTAGCCATATCCATGCCATCGCGGTCTGGATTCCAGGGCACGAGCAGCCCGCGGATACGCGGACGCACGGATACGTTCCGCGCGGGGCATCCGCGAAAAAGCGCCCCGTATCCGCGGGTGGCGGCCGGGGAGCTCAACCCGCGAGGCCGCGGATTATATGTTTTTCGCCGCCCGCTTCCGCCTCCGACTAGCCGGTCTCGCCCCTCCCGGCGGGTCCACTCCGACAGGAACGAGCACGCCAAGTCCGGCGCCAGGGCGCCGGCGGCGTCCGCGCAGGTCGCGAGCGCGCGCAGGGCGGCCATGCGCGCGGAGTGGCTGGCGCCCCGCGAGTCGACAACCTCACTGGGGGGGGTCGACGACGACGACGACGACGACGACGAGGAGCACGATTCCAAGGCCTGAAATCGCGCCACTCCTCGTCACAGCCGCAAGGAAGCGTCAAGACTGCGTTCGCCGAGCGGGACACGTGGGCCTGGGGCATCCGGCCTTGCCCTCCGCCCGCCAGCACGAGGCCTTTCCCCAGCCACCACGGCGCTGCGGCCAGAGAGGTGCTGGTGGCGAAGGGGAAGAGGCTGCTGCTCTGGACCTTCCGTCGTGCACTGACCCGCAAGCGCCGAGGGGGACCGGGGGCCCCGAACCGCGCGGTGACCACAACGTGGGGTGAGACAATGGGGATTCGAGGCTCGGTCACCGCACGACTTGGAGAGCGATTGGTCGAGCTACCTGCGGAGACCCCGTCTGGCCAGGGCGCACACAACTCACAGCCAAGAACGTACCACCCAAAATCACCGACCTGGAAATGACGCCCCGCTCTTCGGCGGCAGGCCTCGTCGGAGGCGAGAGAGCACACCGGCGCCAGGAGACGAGAGACCTGGGTCGTTTTCCGAGGACGTCTCGGACGGCTGCGCCCGCGGCCCCACCACCGTACGGTGACGGGCCGCGCGAGGAGGTCATCGTGGATTCCGAGGTCGCTGCACGTTTTGACACCGCACCGCTGCGGGACGCCCAGAGAGGGAGAGGGTCGCGCGCGCGTGGCTGTTCTTTTCCTCGCTTCCTCCGCACTCATTGTTCGTGTATGTCTCTCTTTCGCTCTCTCTCCCTCTCTCGATCTCTTCCGCTCTGCTGTCCTGTGGTTCGCTTCCGCTCTGTTTCTGCCCAGCTCTCTCTCTCTCTCTCTCTCGTTCTCGTTTCTCTCACACTACATTCTCCAGTCCAAAGTGTTCGTCCCTCCGCCCGCCCCGTCCCTTCGGGGAAAGGGGGGAAGCTGGCTGTGCGCGCTCGCGCCACATCTGACACCAAACCCTCTCCCACCGATCCCTTCCCACTGCGCTGAAAAATGTCCCAATAGTCCGCCCGGTGGGGGGGGTCCTAGCGAACCCTGATCCCCAAAATAGCCCCATCTCGCGCAATCGGGAAGGAAGGCCTTGTGTTTTGGAGGAAGAGGTGGCGGATGAGCAGGGCGAAGAGGACGAGGGAGAAGGAGCAACAGCAGTAGGCGGGAGGAGCAGCAGGACCCAGGGAGGGCGGAGGAACGGAGGAGAGGGCCACGACGAGGCAGGGGCCAACGCTGGGGCGAGAGCGCTGGCGCTGAGATGTGGCCCGCGCCTCAGCGGGAACTCCAGTATTGAAGGTCCGAACTTTTATTCGGCAAGGCTACCATCAAGCATCTCAAAATACATTTGTTCAACCCTGCGATTGCAAGCAAGACTTACATGAATAAAACAATGGTGCACGCAATACACGAACATATGGCTCGCACTCTGGCAGTCTGGCGGGCAGGCTGCCAAGGGGTGTCTCGTGAAGGCCCGAAGTGGAAATCCACCGACCGTGTCAGCGTAATTATGTGAGGGGGAGGGTCCTGGGGTGGTCGTCCAGGGATGGCCCTGGGAGACTGACTGTCTTTCATTCGAAGCTCTCCCCCTTTTTTCCTGAGGCCAACTGGGGGTTTCCAAGATCGCATGCGCGAGTTGAATCCACCCACGAGGGCGACGACGACGACGACACCGACCACGTCGACGACGAGGCGACGAAGGCAACCACGACGACGACGACAACGACGACGACGACCACGACGATGTTTCAACCCCCCCCGCCCCCCGAGGTTCTGGGCATTGCGCACCTGCTGACGCCCCCCGGACAGATCAGGATATCCTCGCGCACCCCGACGACGGCGACTACCGCGACGACGGCGACGACGACTACCGCGGCGGCGCCCTCGGGGCCCTCCCGCGCGAAACCCCGAGAAAAGCCCAGTCGCATGCGCATGCCCCCTCCCCAAGATGTCCTGGGCATCGCTTTCGTGAGAGGGCTCCTCGAGCATCGGGGAATTCAAACGCGACCCGACGAGGGCGACCGCGACGTCGACGACGACGACGACGCAAACGACGACGACGACGACAACGACGATGTTTCCACTCCAGAATCCCCAGAATGTTCTGGACATCGCGTCCCCGAGGCCCCTCCCCGAACAACTCGGGGAATTCTCGTGCCCCCCGACGACGACGACGCCGACCACGACGTCGACGACGACGACGAGCGGCAAGCTGGCGAGCACGCGCGCGCCCGCGCCCAAAACCATCCCGCCCAGCCATGCACGGGCATGAAATTCCCCCGCCTCCTCCGCCTCCTCCTCCGCCTCCTCCTCCTCTTCCTTCCCCTCCCCTTCCCCCTCCCCCTCCTCCTCCGCCCCTCGTCCTCCCCTTGCCCTCCTCCACCTCCTCCCCCTTCTCCTTCTCCCCCCCCCTCTCCGGGAATGACGCGGACGCCCCCCTGCGGTTCCAATGTCGCGAGGGCCGGGCGTGGTCCGGAACCCCGCCCGCCCGATAGGCATACCCTCCCGGAAGAGAGCCGGCCCGCCGACCCCCGTGCCCGCGAGGATCACCCAGACAATCAGTAACCTACTCCTCCTCCTCCTCCTCCTCCTCCTCCTCCTCCTCGTCCTCGATCCCCCTCCTCGAAGTTCTACCCTCGTTTCCGCCGTCGGCGCCGCCGCCGCCGGGGTGGCCGTGGTTTGGGCGGCAAGCGCGCGCGTGGCTTACAAGGACGCTGTCACGATTGCACTCGCCGCGCGGCAATGCCTGGGAGCGGAAGTATGCAATTCTACTGCAATGGTCACGTGACCACGTAATGAGGCGGAAACGAAGATGATGCTGATGAAGAGGAGGGGCAGAGGATATCTTCAGCATCTCGACGTGCGTGTCTGAGGTTCCCCGGTTGGCGTGTGTCGGGTTTCCCTGGGTCGTGGTTCCAATTTCTCGGGTTCGCATGGTCGCCGTTCCTCGGGTTCGGGCCTTCGGCGGTGCCGGGTTCGCGCCACCGTTTCCCGGGTTTTGCGCGTTTTCCTGGGTCGAGGTTTTTCCCCACAAAGTCCCCCATGAGCCTCAGGAGCCACCCCAAGAAGCCCCCAAGACCCCCCACCCAAAAAAAACCCTGGAATGCGACCCAGGCGTAGTGGCGGGAAGGGCCGAGAACCACAAAGTCTTCGCCCCCGCGTGGAAGCCGCCAATGTCCCTCGACTCCGTCCCCCTTCCGCCTCTTGCGCCCAAGCTGCTCACCTCCCCGTTTTTGTGTGGACTCTACGGCTCTTCTCCACCAAAGAACTGCAGCTGGCGGCGGTGGGAGACACCAGCTCGATAAAACAAAATCAAAAACTGAAGCACTGAACCAAACCGTCAGTGCTCACGTTCACTCCCTTCTTGCTGTAATGGGGTTGAGCACTGTGCTTGCACAAAGTGAGCCAACCCTTCCTCGTCGCCCGCGTCGGAGCTGTACGGGGTGCTCACCTCTCAGTGTCGGTGGCACCGTTAGCAGGGGCCCATGCAATCACAAGATGCAGGCCCTGCGCGAGGAACTCTGCGATGGAGGAACGGCCGCACCGCCAGGCAGCACCCGGGGGAGAGAGAGGACAGCAGCGTTCACATGGAGCAGTAGGCAGCGGGAGAGCGGAGGAGGAGGGGAGGAGGGGCGGGGAGGAAGCGAGGGAAAAGGAGAGAGAGTGAGGAGGAGGAGGAGGAGGAGGAGAAGTAGGAAGGAGGAGAAGTGAGGAGGAGGAGGAGGAGGAGGAGGAGGAGGAGGAGGAGGAGGGAGGAGGAGGGAGGAGGGAGGAGGGCGGAGGGAGGAGGGAGGAGGGGGTGGAGGGCAGCACGGGAGAAGGAGGGAGTGCCTTCCACTCCCCCAACTCCTCCTCGTCCTCCTCCTCCTCCTCCGCCGCCGCCGCCGCCCCTGCCGCCGCCGCCATAGGGCGGCGGCGACGACCTTACCCACCATGACGGGCACTGCGGCGAAGCCGAGGACGCTCAGGGCCTCCTCCAGGCGGTGGTTCGCGCGAGACCGCTCTGGCACAGTTGGGCGCGCTCAGACGACGCTGGTCGGGGCAGGTGGGTGGCCAAGGAAGAGGAGGAAGAGGGGGAAGAGGATGAGAAGGAACAGCAGAAGGACCCGAGAAAACCCAAGACACATCAGAGTGTTGCAATAAGCATTCCTGGGCTGCCTCTTGAACTTCTCGCCAGGTAACTCCTCCCTGCGCTCTGGGGAAAAGAAAAATTAGGAGGAGTGTGGGGGCGAAAGGGATGAGGGAAAGGCAGGCGGGTGGAGGTGGGGGGGCACCATGTCCTCCTGCTCTCCCCGACCTCCTCCTCGTCCCAGTCCTCATTATGCTCCTGCTCCTCCTCCTCCTCCTCCTCATCATCATCATCATCATCATCAGTAGCAGCAGCAGCATCATCAGCATCCTCATCGTCAGCATCATCATCATCATCATCATCATCATCATCACCACCACCACCACCACAATCATCATCAACATCTTCATCATAATCATCATCATCATCATCATCATCATCATCATCATCATCAGCATCAGCATCAGCATCATCATCATCATCATCATCATCAGCATCATCATCATCATCATCATCATCATCATCATAATCAGCATCATCATCATCATCATCATCATCATCATCAGCATGCTCATCAGCACGCTCATCATCATCATCATCATCATCAGTAGCAGCAGCATCATCATCAGCATCGTCATCATGACGAACATCATCATCAGCATCAGCATCGTCATTATCATCAGCATCACCATCATCATCAGCAGCAGCATCATCGTCATCATCGGCATCTTCATCGTCAATCATAATCATCACCACCAACATCATTACCATCATCAGCATCATCATCCTCGGCATCATCCTTAGCATCACCATCCTCATCATCATCATCAGCATCATTATCATCATGATCAGCATCATCAGCCTCATCATCAGCATCATCATCCACAGCCTCGTCAGCATCATCCACATCAGCAGCATCATCCTAATCAGCATCATCAGCATCATCATCATCATCATCATCATCATCATCATCATCATCATCATCATCATCATCATCATTATCAGAATAACAAGCAGCAGCAGCATCATCAGCCGCATCAGCGTCATGATCATCATCATCATCAGCATCATCAGCATCATCATGATCAGCATCATCAGCAGCATCAGCATCGTCAGCATCTGCATCATCAGCATCATCAGCATCAGCATCCTCCTCCTGCTCCTCCTCTTCCTCCTCCTCGTCATCATCGCCACCACCACCACCACCGTCATCATCATCCTCATCATCATCATCATCATCATCATCATCATCATCATCATCGTCATCATCATCATCAGCATCATCATCATCATCGTCATCATCATAATCATAATCATCAGCATCAGCATCGCCATCAGTATCATTTTCAGCAGCATCATCATCATCATCAGCATCAAAATCATCATAATCATCATCATCATCAGCATCATCATCATCATCGTCAGCATGATCAGCATCTTCATCATCGTCATCATCAGTATCGTCATCATCATCATCAGCTCATCATCATCATCATCATCATCATCATCATCATAATCATTATCATCATTATCAGCATCAGCATCAGCAGCATCATCATCATCGTCATCGTCATCATCATCACCAGCACCAGCATCGCGATCATTATCATCATCATCATCATCATCATCGTCGTCGTCGTCGTCGTCATCAGCATCATCATCATCATCATCATCATCATCATCATCATCATCATCATCATCATCATCATCATCATCATCATCATGATCACCATCATCACAATCATCATCAACACCATCGTCATCGCCGTGATCGTCGTCGTCGTAGTTGTCGACGTCATCCTCATCATCAGTAACATCGTCATCATCATCATCATCCTCACCCTCATCCTCAGCATCACCATCATCATCATCATCATCAGAAGCAGCATCATCATCATCATCATCATCGTCATCATCATCATCCACAGCATCGCCAGCATCATCCACATCAGCATCATCATCATACTCAGCATCGTGATCATCATCATCATCAGCTCAATCATCATCAGAATAATAAGCAGCAGCATCATCAGCATCATCATCGTCAGCATCATCATCAGCTCATCATCATCATCAGCAGCATCAGCATCGTCAGCATCTTCATCATCAGCATCATCAGCAGCAACAGCATCCTCCTCCTCTTCCTCCTCTTCGTCATCATCACCACCACCACCACCATCACCATCATCATCATCATCGTCATCATCACCGTAATCATCAGCATCATCATCACCATCAGTATCATATTCATTATCATCATCACCATCAACATCATCACCATCAACATCATCACCATCATCATCATCATCGTCAGCATCATCATCAGCATCATCGTCATCATCAGCAGCATAGCAGCATCGTCATCATCATCATCAGCATCATCAGCTCATCATCATCATCAGCAGCATCATCATCATCATCATCGTCATCGTCATTGTCATCACCAGCAACAGCATCGTGATCATTATCATCATTATCATGATCACCATCATCACAATCATCATCAACACCATCGTCATCGCCGTAATCGTCGTCGTCGTAGTTGTCGACGTCATCCTCATCATCAGTATCATCTTCATCATCATCATCGTCATCATCACCATTACCAGCATAATCATCCGCATCCGCATCCTCATCCGCATCGGCATCATCATCATCATCATCATCAGAATCATTATTCTCCTCCTCCTCCTCCTCGTCCTACTCATCATCATCATCATCATCATCATCACCATCATCATCATCATCATCATCATCATCATCATCATCATCATCATCATCATCATGCTTCTCGATCACGACGTCTCGACCCTTCTCCTGTCGATCACGACATTTTGGACCACCTAAATCCTCCGCGCCCCTGCGCAGCGGGCCGCCGGGCGCCGCGCGCAGCTGCTGCGCCAGGGAGACGACCTGGGGGCGCAGCTGCTTCGCCCACTCCTCGGGAAGGGGGAAGAGGAACGGGGGGAGGGGGCAGAGGAGGGGAAGGGGAGAGAAGAACGGGGGGGGGAAGGAGAGAGAGCAAGAGAGGAGGGGGGCAAGGAGGGGAAGAGCGAGGAGAGGGGAGATCGCACCGGCTCGGCCCGCAGGTCATCCAGGCACCCATGCCACACATGCACAGCAGGCCATTCCCACAGAGCGCACCGCGGAAGGCGCCGGAAAAAAACAGGGGTGGTGGGGTGCCTCCCCCCCAGACGCGGGCTGCAAGGGTCCCCGACTGGAGAAAAAGTGGCGGGCAGCGGTGATCAGTCGACCCCGTGGCCGCGGCAGGACGACAAGCCTGTCGCAACACACTCCAGGTCTCTTGCGCACGGTGGTGCCCGTCGATGAGGGGGGCGGGCTGCTGCTGGATCTGGTGGATGGAGGTCCTGAGCTGATTGTTGGCGGCGCGCACAAGGGGGTAGAGGGAGGCGCCGGCCTTACATCTATAGATAAGGCCCGCGCCTTCTAAGAAGCAGGGGTGCGACCGCGACCGCCCTGCTCGCGCGACCGTCCCCGTGGGAACCTTGGCGGGCCGAGCGGGAGGCTGCATTGAATCGGGCGCGAGCGCGCGAGCGCGCAACCGTCGGATCCGGGGATCTGGCCCTGGGCAGGGCGGCGGGGTAGGGCCTCCGCCCTGGAACCTCAGCTCAAGTAGTTCTCGACGCAGTGCTGGCACCTTCTCTTTTGACCACCGGGGCGTCGTCGGTGCCGCGGTTCAGATGGAGACCATTGCAATGCCCGATGAGCCCACGAGCTTCCTGGACGCTGATTGGGCGCACGAGCCCATGAGGATGCACGAGCCCACGAGCCCACAAGGTTGCATTGAATTGGGCGTGATTGGTGACCGTCGTGTCCCGTTGCACCTGAGTGTTGGGCAGCGGGGCATGTGCCGTCCCTCGGCAGCGCGGGCAGCGCCAAAGGAGGGGGGGGCGCAGCGAATAGATGTCGCAGTCATCGTCGTCGCCAAGCTAAGATAAGATGAGGAAAGAAGAGCCAAGGAAAAAAAAACGAAAATATACCAAATGCAATCACAAACAACATGAAATGATATCATACAGGGAAAATAACATAAAATAAGAAAAGCAAAGACAAGATAATATAATGTACCATACGATGAGATGATAAAAATATGATATTAGATGGTTAAAATAAGATGGAACATATGATATACGATAGGATTGGATAGGGAGATGAAGGATAAGATGGTGGAAGGTAGGGGAAGATAGCACAATATGGCATAAGGTAAGATACGGCAACATAAATCAATATGAAATGAGACCCTATGTAATAATATAGGATGAGGAAAGACCCGATGATATACTAAGATACACAGTAGGAAAAGATAGGTATGAAAACAAGATGTATAAGACATGAGAAGATAAAAGAAGATAGGAAATCAACAAAACGATCATATAATGTGAGGTACGCTACGATAGGGCCAGATTATATAGTATAATATGGGTAGATACGATGATGAGATAGAATAAGACATGGCATTACAACAGATATGGTAAGACAATAAAAATCGCGATATAATTACATGAAATGAGAAATATGATATGATATGAGTTGGTAAGATGATATAAGGAAATGTACGGTGAGGTAGATGGTGAAAAAAACATAGTTTTTTTTTAAAAAAACAGTATCATAGAATGGGATGACATAATAAAATAAGGGAGAATGTAGGTTTGAAAACGGTGAGAGAGTACAAAGTAAAACAAGAAAAGATGAAGTATAACAATATGATAAGTTAGGTGCATACGATAAAGTCGTATGGGATGATGTAGAACAAGATGATGAGCTAGGCGAATTTAAGAAAGAGTAAGGCTGAAGAAAAGCTAAGGTATGATAACATAGGGTAAGGTACCATAAAAACATGAAATAAGATTAGGTATATAAGATATACAATGACATGACGGACCTGTGAAGCTGGTGCCTGCGATGTGAACGACTCTCGGTCGTATACTGGCCCCCACTTGCGCACATCCTCTTCTTTAATGAACTCAAGAACTGAATGCTTGTTTTGTGTCCTCTGTTGAATCTCCGGCGGCAAAAAGGGGAAAGCAACGCCGCGTCCCGTTCGCAAAGCCCCCTCGTCCTCCTCCTCCTCCTCCTCCTCCTCCTCCTCCTCCTCCCAATCCCCATCCCGATCCCGATCCCCATGCCCATGCCCAACCCCACCCATCCCCATCCCCATCCCCATCCTAATCCCCATCCCCATCCCCATCCCCATCCCCGTCCCCGTCCCCGTCCCCGTCCCCATCCCCTATCCTCATCCTCATCCTAATCCTAATCCTCATCCTCATCCTCATCCTCCTCCTCGTCATCATCATCAACCATCATCATCATCAACAACAAGAACAATAACAACAACAACAACAACAACAACAACAACAACAACAACAACAACAACATCATCATCATCAGCATCATCATCAGCAGCAACAGCATCAGTTTCATCGTCATCAGCAGCATCACCATCACCATCAGTATCATCATCATCAGCAACATCATCAGCATCATCAACATCAGCATCATCATCAGCAGCAGCACCAGCATCAGACTCAGCATCATCAGCATCATCATGACCATCATCATCATCATCATCAGCAGCAGCAGCAGCATCAGTATCATCGGCATCAGCAGCATCATCAGCATCATCACCATCATCATCACCATCATCATCAACATCAGCAGCAGCATCATTATCATCGTCATCAGCAGCATCACCAGCATCATCATCATCATCATCATCATCATCATCATCAGCATCATCATCATCATCATCATCATCATCATCATCATCATCATCATCATCATCATCATCATCATCATCATCATCACCCTCATCATAATCCCGGTCGTCCTCCCCTCCCTCCCACGCTCTTGTCCTCTGCTTTCCCCCCTCCCCCCTCAATGTTTCCCCCCATCCTTTTCACGCTCCTCCTCCCCCCCGCGCTGCCCCCCACTTCCTGCTCTTCCCTCTGAACACCCCCCTTCGATGCAGGCGGATATGGACGCCGAGAGCCGAGCTCCTCCAGCACGCAGGCACCAGCATCGGCGAGCGAGGGGTGGTCGCCACCCTCGAAGGCCCTCGCGGCGGCCCGGCGCCCTGGCGAAGGTTCGGAAATTATGTTCCGCCCTCGTCCTCGCCCGCGTCATCAACCGCCACTCCTGATTCTCCTCATCCTCCTCTTCATCCTCTCCCGTTCCTCCCCTTCCCCGTGGCCCCCTACTCCGTCCCCCGCCTACATGTTTATGCGAGCAAATTGCATGATGGACTTGCGCGACATGGGGCCATTGCTCACGACGCAGCGACGACTTTCGTGGAGACAGGCCCGCGCAATCGCCTGTCACAGCGCCGCCCGATGGACTCGACAAGTTGCTCGCTGGCACCCTGGTCTCCATGTGAGACAACGAGGATAGCGCCAACGAGGTCGACGACAGGAACGGTGGGAGGACGAACTACACGACTGCCTCCGACAACGGATTGGCAACCGCGCGCGCGAACGACGGTTCGAGTGACGCCATGAATGGTACTACGTGTCTCCACGTAATTAGTCTCCGACGCAACCACCTCATCGACGGGGGCCTAGCACCCGAACGAGACGATCAAAACACCTGCCAACGCGACACCATCCGACCCCGAGGCCGGAGCCAACTCCAGCAGGGAAGCGCGCTCGTGTTGTCTGGCCTTTGCTTTCCCCAGCATGTGTGTGCATGGAGAGGTTGCGACCTCCGCGCTCGGGCCCGAGGAGACAGGGGCCATGTCCTGATGAGAGGGATAATGCGCATGCGAATGCGATTTCTCTCTTCTGAGACGGTTGCCGCTCATCGCGACTTGGATAAAAGAGGGGATCCTGCCACGTGAAAGGCTCTTGTCGCGCCTAGGCAGCCGCCCCGCGGACTTAGCAGCCAAGGCTGCTATGGCGCAGCATCCTGTCTGGAGCCCCTCGGAGGAGGAAGAGCTTCATCCTCATATCAAGATCGCGCCATGTCCTGGTGGCGGCAGCGGTCTTGCTGCCTCTTTGGCCGAGACTCGAGTTTCAGGTCACGGAGCGAATCCTGCCGCCTCTGTCTAGTTGTAACCATGAGCTTGAAATCGCCCACTATTGTGTGCATTGGAGTCATCTCTTTCAGTGCTGTGTCTGTCCCCGTGGCTCCCGTGCGAAGCCCAAGCCGATTTGAGGGCCGTGCCCACAGAAGTCCTCGCCTGGACCATGGGATTATGTAATCCTTGGGAAGCAACCTGCCCCTCTGCAAGTACTGCAAACTATATGGCGGCGGAGGTTAAGTTTTCGGCCGAAGACAATGCCCTCCCCGACGCAGTCTCCGTAAACGTCTGCACCTTGACAAGAAGGGTATTACTGTTGACCTTGACGAATTCGTCCTTTTGCTATAAAGTACAGATTTGGTTTCAACACCACGGTTCGCCCCTGGCTGCGGTTGCAGAGACTGTCACCAGGGGCATGAGGCGCCGAGCCGCGGCTCGGCAAGGTCGTCAGCGATCAGGTCGGTCAGATCGACGGCCCCGGGAAGTTCGGGTTCGCCGGGGTTGCTGCCGACGTCGTCGCCAGAGGACGCGGCGGTGGATGAACTGGCGGCCGTTGAAGTAAAGCCGCGGATGTCGTCGTCGGCGCTGGTCGACTGGATCAGTTGCTGAAGGCGGACTTCGTGAAAGCGGGCCCGGGCACTGGTGCTCGGCGATCTTGTCATCGTGTCGGCGAGAGGGAAAGTCGAGGATGATTTCCTCGATCTGGTTGCTGAGGTCGCCTGGTCTTGTCTGGTGGGCGCATGTTGATGCATGCAGTCGCGTTTGCCGTTGGCGCCGGAATTAAGATTTGTCCACGCTGGGCCAAGTTTGGCCCCCCAGGTTGGCAATGCTGGTCGCCTTGCGGGCCGTCGGCGCCGTCGCGCGGGCTGGCGCGAGTCGCTGCCAGAGTACGGGAGGCCGCCTTGTGGTCTGAGCCGAGGTCGACCCTGTTGTCGGCCGCGGCATCAGCACAATCTCCAGAGCAGTCGAGTTGCTTGGCACGTCGGCCGAACATGCAAGCAATCTGCTGGAGCGTCGGTTCGCGGAAGAAAGCACTGGTGAGTACGAGACCTTGTTGCGTGGCCAAGCGCGGGAGCCATTGCCCTCTGCCGTTCTGCTCGCCGTAGCCGCTGGAGGCGACGCATCGCGATGTGACGCCGCGTCGATTCCCCTCCGGGTCGAAGGTGGTAATACCGTCGCATTGGCCGACATGGGCGTTGAAGTCAGCGACGAACATGAGGCGTGCGTTGGATCGTTTGCATCGCGCGCGCACGACGCGGAACACGTCACCCTTACTGTGGACGCGGCTGTCGTTGTAGCTGCAATGCGGGACGCACGCAGTAAGACGTTGACGTCGTAGTTTTTGCCGCGCTTGATGGAGAGCGCTGCAAGTCGTGGGCTGCGCGGTTTGAACTGGTGCGAGAATGTGTTCCATCGCTTGTGTACCACTAAGGCTCCCCCAGGGCACTGCCTGGCGTTGCCTGCTCTGGCGAATATGCGGCAGTCCTCTGCGGCCCAGAGCTCCCCCTTGCGCGTGCGCCATGTCTCGTGGATCCTGGCAAAGTCCCAGCGTTGGCGCTCGATCTCGTTGATGAGCTCGCCCACCCCGTCGCCGGACACACGCGATCTTGCGTCCGCGCGCATGCCCGCCAAGTGGAGTGACGGTGGCTCGTCGCCTACGTTGTGCTTGGAGAACGGCGTGGTCGTCGTTGTCCTGGATGTTGGGTCGTCGTCGGATGCTGCCCGCGATGGTCGCAATGACTCCTGATGTCGCGGTCGTTTCTGCTGAGGGGGCGATGATTGGCGGTGCTCGCGGCTCCGCGTGCGTTCGTGATCGGGATAGCGGCAATGGCGTGTCGCCGTCGGATGATTGCGCGGGCGGCCTGGGGTCGGCGACCGCATCGATGGGTGAGCACGCGGACGTGGAACTTCGCATGCACGCGCGAACGCTGGCGGGCACGTCTCCGCGGGCGTCACTGTAGTCGGACCTCCCTCCACCCCTGCTGAGCAATCGCGTGGGAATAGCCGGTGGCGACGTATCTGGAAGGTCCCTGACGAAAGGTGATCGCATCAGGCCCCGAGCGGGAGTTGAAGCGCGGGCTGGGCCGACGCCAGTCCTGCATCCACCTGCATTTGAAAATTATGCCTGGCCACCCTGTGAATTATGAAAGAATCGTGGTCGGCGAGTCTCGTCAATTTTTGCATTTGGCTGCGAAACCACTGCAGCACTGTGCGACATCGATTATATATCGAGTCGCGGCATCATGGTCTAGCTCTCTGTTTAGTGAAACACTCTCAGAGAAGAAGGTGCCGCTAAAAATGACGCCTGGTTTTGATGGGTGGCCCTGCATGTCGACGCTTGGCCGATATCGAATCGGCCACACCTAAATTAAACACATGGATACGTTCTGACAGACCGAGTGACACTGGGCCGGGGCGTCAGCGCAAAGGCCCGCCTGGGCCTGGGCCCCAAGCTCCGAGCCGCGAGGGGCTTGAGGCCACGGGGCCCACAGTGGGCCAGAAACAACTCCAAGGCGCCCCCCGGCAGCCGAGACCACAACCACAACCGAGCCTGGCTTGGACAGTGTCCGACTTCGACGCCTCGACAGGACCCGCCCATGAAAAGTTGCCCTCTGCGCCCGTCGCCGGGAAGGAGGGAAGGGATGGCGGCGGCATCTGACGGGCCAGGCAGCGAACCCACAAACCGTTCCACCCTGACTCCACTCGAAGCAGGAGGAGGAGCCCGACCACCCAGACGCTTGAACACGCCATGCATAAACCGAATCATGCCCGAGCTCCGCGGGCCCACCCCTTTGGCATCGTTCTGAAGGAAAGTTGGAGCGATCCGACTGCGCGCACTCGCACGCGTAGAGCCCATGGAACAGCGCGTCGCGGGCCTTGCCGAGCAGGCCACAAAGGTCAGACATCACGTAGCCCGCATCAGCTGCATCTCCTGCAGCCCAGCACTTTACTAGCCTGCGCACGAACCCAACCATGGCAAGCCCCGCGACTCTTTCGGACGCCACGAGAGCCCTGCGAACATCCCATCTGGAGACGACAGCAGGCCACACTTATCGCCCGAATGCCGCTTCAACACACGAAACACGGCCCCCGATCAAAAACTTCGACCAGCATGGGGGAAGACAGGGCGATCTCTCTACCAAAACCACCTCAACGATAGCACGCGTCCGGCATGGCCCTGCCCAGCCTGTACAACGTCATCCTGAGCGCGGAAATCGGGGCCCGAACAGAAAACCAGGAGCGTGCGTCAGGAGTAAAAACAACCCCCCAACCAGCAGACCAGGGGAATTCGTTGGTCCTCAATATCGAAATCTCGCTGGACCAGGGGATGATCGGGGCGAGGCCCCCGCGCCACGTCGGGTCGCCCTCACGAAGGAAAAGCACGGCAAGACCGACCCTGGGCTCTTGGCTTCACGCGCGACATTGCCATGCGCCTCAAATCGAGCAACCCCCGATCGGAGACCCCATCGAGGTCCGAATCGCAAGCGCTTTTCTACGCCAACTGCGGCAAGGACCGCCAACGACCCCCCCGATGGCCAAGTGCCCAACGCACCTATAGACCCGAACGGCCGAGCGGGCGAGGTAGGCAGGGAAATTGCCCTGGAGATATTCCAGAAAAAGAAACATATCGATATGTTCGCAACGCCCACGCAGGCCCAACAAAAAACTAAGCCATACATCGACGGCGAACAATGCCAAACTCCGCACGAAACGCCTGCCCCCAGACGACGTCTGCAGCAACCCTGAACGACCCCGCCGCCCAGCACTCAGCAGGGAAAGCAAGCTCCCATTTCGAAGCTCCACACATGCGAGCGCGATCCCATGCGCGGCGCCAACTCGGGGAAATCCCGCTCGGCCTGAATCCCCAGGCGGGCTCGCCCCCGACGGCCGCGAGGACCCGAAAGACTTGGCCGAGGAGGGCCCCCATCGCCCCCACCATGGCAAACCGCAAAGACAACGCCTGAAAAGCCTCATGGGGAGCAAAGCAAAGCGACAACAGTGGAAACCGCTGGGGCCGGCCGCAGAGGCAGGCATGCACTTCTTAGAGATGGCCCGCAACT